CTGTTATATACCAATTTTGACTTGTTGAGATCCGCAGAGCTTGTAAAAGTCTGTGCGTTTACATCATGAATTCCCTGCAGGTCGACTTGTGAAACTTGTGGAAAACTTTGCCTTGTTAACATCACTCCTGCTTTGTTACGAGAGCTTGACATCTTTTTCTGGAGTCGTCTCGTTGGCGTGTGTGTTGTAATGCGCTGCGGCACCACGACCACGGGAATCCCACTTGTTTCCAAACATTCAGAGCAGCTAGAAGTGTGCGAGGTTGAACCATGCACGAAATGTGTAAAAAGAAGCCTAGCCAAAAATCTGTGAATGTAATTTTTGCTTTCAATGCCTTCAATTCAATTAAATATATTTTTGTATAGCCCTAAATCACAGTAGTAGTTATCTCTGTCAAATTGTCTTATATATAACATTATCTAAAACGTTTACCAACCATTTAAAACTCGTACATTATGCTAAGACTATTACATCATGAAGCCTCTTTCTTTCTATTTAAATACAAGTGTTTTATACAATTTTGTTATAATGTAGCAACAGGACCAGAGCAGTAAAAAGTGAAATGCCAAAATTAATATTACAAACATGTTTATGAGAAACATGAACACAAAGAAAGTTTGCTTCTATTCCATGGATTTATGTTGTTTTTGATCAATGCATGTTGATTTTCATGCTGTTGATCAAAACCAGCCCCAACAGACACTGTGTGCTGTAAAAGCAGTAAAATAAATCTCTCTCTGCTTTCTGCTTCTAATCTAAAGTTGTGAAAAGATCTCTGTTGTGGATAATTATGCAAAGAATGTCTGATGAACAAGCTTGAATCACAGCCATTTGTTTAAAAAATAGCTTTATAGTTTGTTTATTTAAGACACATTGTCTGAAGGGCCTGCGTGTACGTGGGCTGAGCAGAAAAGACCATTCAAAAGGGCACCTGCATTTGTTTTGTAGATGGAGGTCTTCATTTCTTGGACCTTCATCATCACAGCATACAATAGCAGTGATGTTGCTAGCTGGATCACTCAAAATATTTGTTCTCTGTTGTTACAAATTGGCTTCCCAACTTGATTTCATATGTTTCTATTTGAGCTGTTCTATAGAAGGTGATGTGACCAACTTAGTCTTAAAAATGCATATTATGTAACACATGGCCCTGTAATATCATTTAAAGCAGGGGTGTTAAACCGGTTGTCAAAGGGCCGGTGTGGCTCAGCAGACTCCACCCATTTCCTCCGACTGTGAGTCCAGTTTTACAGTAACCTGGATATTTGAGGAAATGGGTGGAGTCTGCTGTGCTTCTGCTCAAGGTGGAACTAAAGGATAAAATAACATTTATTGATCTCACAATGGAGAAATGTACATGTCACATTGGCATATATAGGATCACTCAGGTTGTGCAAAAAGACAGGAAGTGTGCAAAAAGCTTAAAATATAGTCTCTTTTGTGCATGTTATATGACGTACAATAAAACATCCAGCCACACTGGCCCTTTGACCGCCAGTTTGACACCCCTGATCAAAAGTAGGTGTGTTTGTCTGGATATAATTTGATACAGTGTTTTTCAACCGGTGCCTTGAGATGTTGCGCCGTTGGAAATGTTCACATATCACCGGATCAGGTAAAATAATGTGAGAAGATAAGACAAACTTTTGTAATGGCTTAACTTTATATAATAGACTTTGATGAGACTTTACCAGGTGACACTTTGGCGAAGTGGTTTGCACTTCGCAGAAAGAAGGTCCTAGACTCAAATTCCACCTCCGGGGTTTGCATGTTCTCTCCGTGTCTGGACAGGCTTCCTCCAGGTGCGACTGTTTTCAACAAAAAACGTGTGCCATGGCTCAAAATGATTGGGGAACACTCACTTAAATATAATAGGGAGGCTTTTCTTATTCCGGGTCGATCATCTAATCCAGGCATGTCCAAACATCGGCCCGCGGGCCAACCGTGGCCCTCTGTGTTAAAACAAAGTCACCATTGAGGCACTTTGACAGTGCCATCCAACCAACTTCAGCTTCACCAATTTACAACATGCCTTGTTGTAAATCTCAGACCCTGTGGAATCCAGTTGTTGACTCTATTTTTATATACTGACATTTGTTTTATGATTGTGTCACTACATTCCAAATAAAATGCAGCTGTGGTGTTAATCAATAACAATGTATCAAAACTCATTTTAAATTACAAAATCCAGTCAATCTGTTTTTTTAAATACACGTCATCGACCCCAGATCAAGTCTGATTAACTAAAGGGGCCTTTTACTTAAAAAGTTTGATCTAAACTACTCTAAATTGCTAGACCTATGGCAATAGTTTGAAATATTTGATAACAAATAATTACAACCCCTGAAATAATATTAAGAGGTATGAGTTGACTAGTAAATATGTTGGTCAACCATGAGGATAAGCAGAAGGTCTGCACTGAATAAGTAGCACTTTTTAAAGGCAAAAAACATCAATAATATAAGCAGCTTTGAAACAGCCAACTGCTTTTCTCATTCACAGCTCGTAAATTCCCTTGTGGAAAATACAGCCGAACAATTTCATTATTACTCTGACAATGCCTTGAATCGCTGATGAGGTCAAGTCTCCCATAAAAGCTCTTTTGCACATTTCATATTGACTCGTTGCTTAATTGCCAATTGTTCATCATCAAAGGAGCGTTCGACCTTTTCAGATCCGCGACCAAACCAACCGGCCCGCGTTCCATTCCTCTTTCGCTACTGCAGACGGACACCGGGTTTCGTCTTTTCAAATGTCAACAGAAGCCAAATTGCGCCATTTCAGAGATCACGTCTTTATAAAGAAATTAAAATAAAGGCAAAGTAATTATCTAATTCAGTCCATGGCAGACGAATACCCAGTGGGAGCTTGTCCTTTTCCCCACTTTCCACATGAATAAGACTTCGAATCAAAGCTGTTCAAAGCTGGAGGTCAACACGTGGCACCGGCAAGGCTTCCGCAACAATGTCCTGGATGAATATTAATGATGCCAGGTCAGAACCCATGTAACAATTACACCCTGCACACCAGAGCAGTCCTGGCCCGTGTTGGCCGTCGGAGCCATTTGCATGCCTAAAGAGGGATTTGAATAAGAAGGTCATCATTTATTAACGCTGCCATTTATATTTATGACAGGCCTGTGTGCTTTTGTGGTGCGGCTTTAACTGTCAACGAATGGGGGCGATACGGAAGCGGATTCAAATTATTGGACACATTTGAGTGATTTCTACCATTACTGTTGAATCATGTATTTAATAATGTGATTATATCAAATGTTAAAGGATGTGGAGATTCTTTAGGAATTCAAACTCTGTGCTCTTAAAATAATCAATGACTCTTCTGGCTCCTGGAAAAAAAACATGTTCCAGCTTCTTCCCTCTGGCCGACGATATTGTCCCTTGAGACACAGGTCATCTCGATTCCAACACACAAGCTGTTATCAGTTGCATTTGTATTGAAACTGTTTCTTTTTATCCTTTTCACAGTGACAATTTTATTCTGTTAGCCTGTTTTATTCCTGTATTTTTAGCTTGTTAGAGGGTTGACAATGACAGAATAAAACCATACTCACAACCATAATTGTCAGTCCTGGAGGCCCCTTGTGCTGACCACAGGGACTGAAAACTGTATTTGTCCAAAATGAGTCTGACACCCCTGTTCTAGGTGCTCCGGTTTCCCCCACAACTGTACAATTGGTCACATCCTCCAGCTCTTGTAGTCCTGACCAAGTAAATCATCAACATCTGAAGCTGGTCCCCAGGCGCTATGACGACCACTGCTTCTGACACAGGACTTAGACATTGAAGGATGGGTCAAATGCAGAGGACAAATCTTTCTATATGGACAATAACTTAACTGGAGGATGGGTTTCTAGGGAAGTCTGGTCGTGAACCAGCAACAGATAAAGCAAAAGAAAAAAAGTGATTAATGAAAACTATAAAGTTGTGAAAGCTTGATTGGAGGTTCTAAATAGCGTGCTGTAAGTGGTCGTTGCAAACTTAGTGGGTGGGTGTAAAAGCCAGGGACAAGGCCACAGTGACCAAAGCCTCATGACCACAGAGAGCACAGTGTACCTCAGTAATAGATTGCACGGCTCTAGACCAAGGCCAGTGCATTATGGATTGTAGGGAATACCATTTTCTTCTCTCTTGTTATTGTTGGATTTATTACCAATATCTCGGTTGTACAAGATGGAATGAGGCTGAGTGTGTTACAAACAAGAACACAATACAATCATGACTTGATGTAAGAAAAAAGCCTTTCTGAAGAAGGTGCGGAACATAAATGGATTTGGGATGCATTTAAACTGCATCATACAATAATCTGTAAGAGACCATTTGAGACATACTTTCTTCAAATTATTCTCTAAACCAGGAGCTGATCTGTTTAACTCTATGAGACTGATGATGTGTGCGTTGAATAATTTAACTATGTATTACCCCGAAAATTTGAACAGAATACATTTCTGGCTATTCATGCGTGTGAGATTCCCATTTTTTGTCTGATTGCCTGTTCAAAAGATTTGTGTTTTTATCATTTAATTGCTACAGCATTTATTTTGCCGTTTGAAACCCAAGGACAACACTGAGAAGAATGGATGAGCACAACATCTGTCTAACAATCTCACACAATCAAATTTCCTCACGGCTGGTGTTGCCACAAGCAGCTCTCACACAGAACTCAAAAATAGCTCAATATAACTACTCCTCATTTTCCAGCCCGCTCCGTGTCGCCCGAGGATTCCACTTCAGGCTGTACAGATGAAATATCGGGCAAAGAATTGAGACATCCCACCATCTGCTTGCACTGCACTCCTGTCTCAAGTCTGTTCCACTTCATTCTCAGACAAAACCACCTCCCCCTTTTTTTCCCGTGGAGAAATGAGACAGCGAACGGCATTATTCTCAGCCAAAATTTGTTTATTTATTGCGGTCTGTCAGAGAGAGCCACCACCGGCGATGAAAAATTGTTTGAACTGTGAGCCGTCAACAGCTTTTCCGATGCGGCCTTGTCACCATCTCCCGGAAGACTCTTTCTATAGCGTTCCAAACGGGACGGGTGGAACGATGGAAGGATACATCGCCATGCCGTCGCCGTACCAAAGCTTGTCTGATCAATGTAAAGCTCCAAAGGGGTGGAAAGAGAGAGGGGGAGAGGGATCTTTAAAGGCTTCAAACGGAATTCCGGATCACAGCCACGACGAAAGTGACACCTACACGCCAACGGAAACTAGCGGTGGAGGTGAGCGGTTGGAAATTTTCGGCTTTGTGAATGATCTAGTCAAAGCTAATGTTTGTCAATGGGTTGGGAAGCAGCTCTGCGAAGTTGGATATCTCAAGCAGGAATGTCAACTTCATTATACAATAGAGGTGCGTCAGATATCGGTGCTGTCGTCTAAGTAGTGCAGTAGGGAAATAAAAGCATGCTGCTGTCGTGAGACATTTCAACAACATTGTCAACATCACCTCGCCTGAAAATGATGTATTCTAAGACCCTTGTAACTTAATCCAAAATCTTCATGTTACTGTGAGGAAGTAGGCATCTCCACAAATCTGATTGGTTCTTTTCTTTTATATGTGAGAAGATAAATGTACTTCTAAATATAGCTATATAAGTAGAACAGGAAGCAAAACCTTGTCAAAATTACTCTTTAATGTTGGTTTCCCATGAACTGCGCATTATTCCAATCATAATACATGAAACACGTGGTTGCCATTTGATGACTGGATCAAGTACACATTTATAAATCATTAGAAGGCAGGATTTACAGTGTTTGTTTTCCTTTCCACACATCTTACATTTGACCAACCTCAGAGTTAGCAAAAAACATGATTGCCTGGATGGAGCTATTCTACTCTGCTCCCCTTATCTCAGAGGAACACAGCAGCTCTGCCAGTGCATCCACACTGCTCTCCATGAGACAATCCAGGCCAAAGAAACACTTTTCCTCAACACATTGGGTTTTTGGAGTTCTAATCGCCATAGGTGGGTGAGTGTACTAGCTATTAAAATGTGATGCAAGATTTAGGGTTTGGGTTCTCCTGATAATAAATGCCCTAGTGGCATTGCAGGGTGCATAAGTTCCCTATGGAGAGAAAGTAAGTGCTCATTTATGTGTCCCTTGGAGAGATAAAGAGGTGGAGAGTTGACAGGATGGATAGATCTCCCAGGGAAGAGATGTTTTTGTTTTTAAGGAATCTTTAAGTGAAATCAACATTGTAAAACGACAGTACATTGCATAGGCACATACACAGTAAGTCTGAGTGCAGTGCTACAACATGACTGGACTAATACATATTTGTGTTTAGTCGAATTTTGTCATTGTTTTGCCTACCTGCAGGTGAGACTAGTGATTTGAACTAGTTATCAAGAAAATGTGTTTAAAGGAAATACATAAAGAGTCATCTGCTACAGATAATAATGATATGGTGGTTATACAGTGCCTTGCGAAAGTATTCGGCCCCCTTGAACCTTTCAACATTTTGCCACGTTTTAGGCTTCAAACATAAAGATATAAAAATTAAATTTTTTGTCAAGAATCAAAAACAAGTGGGACACAATTGGGAAGTGGAACGAAATTTATTGGATAATTTAAACTTTTTTAACAAATAAAAAACTGAAAAGTGGGGCGTGCAATATTATTCGGCCCCCTTGCGCTAATACTTTGTAGCGCCACCTTTTGCTGCAATTACAGCTGCAAGTCGCTTGGGGTATGTCTCTATCAGTTTTGCACATCGAGAGACTGGAATTCTTGCCCATTCTTCCTTGCAAAACAGCTCGAGCTCAGTGAGGTTGGATGGAGAGCGTTTGCGAACAGCAGTCTTCAGCTCTTTCCACAGATTCTCGATTGGATTTAGGTCTGGACTTTGACCTGGCCGTTCTAACACCTGGATACGTCTATTTGTGAACCATTCCATTTTAGATTTGGCTTTATGTTTTGGATCATTGTCCTGTTGGAAGATAAATCTCCGTCCCAGTCTCAGGTCTTTTGCAGACTCCAACAGGTTTTCTTCCAGAATGGTCCTGTATTTGGCTCCATCCATCTTCCCATCAATTTTAGCCATCTTCCCTGTCCCTGCTGAAGAAAAGCAGTCCCAAACCATGATGCTGCCACCACCATGTTTGACAGTGGGGATGGTGTGTTCAGGGGGATGAGCTGTGTTGCTTTTACGCCAAACATATCGTTTTGCATTGTGGCCAAAAAGTTCAATTTTGGTTTCATCTGACCAGAGCACCTTCTTCCACATGTTTGGTGTGTCTCCCAGGTGGCTTGTGGCAAACTTTAAACGAAACTTTTTATGGATATCTTTGAGAAATGGCTTTCTTCTTGCTGCTCTTCCATAAAGGCCAGATTTGTGCAGTGCAGGACTGATTGTTGTCCTATGGACAGACTCTCCCACCTCAGCTGTAGTTATCTGCAGTTCATCCAGAGTGATCATGGGCCTCTTGGCTGCATCTCTGATCAGTCTTCTCCTTGTTTGAGATGAAAGTTTGGAGGGACGGCCGGGTCTTGGTAGATTTGCAGTGGTCTGACACTCCTTCCATTTCAATATAATTCCTTGCACAGTGCTCCTTGAGATGTTTAAAGCTTGGGAAATCTTTTTGTATCCAAATCTGGGTTTAAACTTCTCCAAGAGTATCTTGGACCTGCCTGGTGTGTTCCTTTGTCTTCATGGTTCTCTCTGCGCTTTAAACAGAACCCTGAGACTATCAAAGAGCAGGTGCATTTATACGGAGACTTGATTACACACAGGTGCATTCTATTTATCATCATCAGTCATTTAGGACAACATTGGATCATTCAAAGATCCTAACTGAACTTCTGGAGTGAGTTTTCTGCACTGAAAGTAAAGGGGCCGAATAATATTGCACACCCCACTTTTCAGTTTTTTATTTGTTAAAAAAGTTTAAATTATCCAATAAATTTCGTTCCACTTCACAATTGTGTCCCACTTGTTGTTGATTCATGACAAAAAAAAATATGTTTTATATCTTTATGTTTGAAGCCTGAAATGTGGTGAAATGTTGAAAGGTTCAAGGGGGCCGATTACTTTCGCAAGGCACTGTAGTCCCATTACCCACTAAGAGCTGATTCATCCATGTTTGAGTCTATCGATCGAAATCACAATGAAAAAATTGGTTTCAATTAGCAACTAGGGGTGTGAAAAATCGATATATCGCGATACTTTCTCCCGCAATTCGATTATCAATATGCATTTGCCAAGTATCAATATCGATTTTGAAAAAAAAAAAAAAAACATATATATATATATTTTTTTTACAATAAAAAAAAAAAATTGGTATCAATACTTAATATATGGCTACTTTACGCATCTACATTCCATTTATCATGAAATAAAGTGTAGTTTTTCTTTTATTTATGCCATAAATTGGCATATTGTATATTTCTGACCAACATATCGATAAACGTCATATCGTGATAAAATCGTTATTGTGATAATATCGTTATCGTGAGCTTTGTATCGTGTATCGTATCGTATCGTGAGGTACCCTTAGGTTCCCACCCCTATTAGCAACATGCAAATAATGCAATTATTTGAATCCTTTGCAATAAACATAAGAACAAAATTAAAGCCGCAAGCGGCGTCGAACGGCCCTCGCCGCACCGCGCGACTCCCTGCACCGCGCGCACTCCCCGCACCGCGCGCACTCCCCGCACCACGCCGCCGCGCACCAAGCCGCCCTGCACCATGCCGTCCTGCACCACGCCGCCCCGTACCAAGCCACAACGCGCCGCTCCACAACGCCCCGCACTACGCCGCACCACACCGTACCACGCAGCATTGCTCAAAGTAGGTGGCACCGCCGTGTGATGATTTGTTCCCGTAGCCATAGAAGCATGTTAGTCAAATCGTAATGAATATGATAAGTAGAGCTGGTTTGGCTCCCAATGTAAACTTTGACAGAGTCTGTAGGGGGCGCTAATGGGCCAATTTCCAATATTTCACTTTAACCTGACCTAAACCCTGGAGTTGAACAATGGATTAAAGTTTTGTGCAAATTAGACTTTGTTTGTGCAAACAGGAGCAAAATTAATGTTGTCAAAAAGAGACAAAAAAAACCTCACATTTTCCCACTCGGCTGCTCAAACAACGTTTCACTGATCAAAATTCCCTGAAGTTATTTTGAAGGTAAATGGGTTGAGATGATTTTGAACAATTTTGAGGCCAATCGGTGAAACGGCCGAGGAAGAGTCGCTTTCCAACCGACGTGTATGAAAATGATTGGTTTTCATTTTTCCATTTTGCAATGAAATTTATGGGCTTCCTGTTTGTCAGAGGGCTTATCCATAATAACATTTTTTCCATGTCTTGACTTGAGGAACATGTTTTCCAAATTACATGTTTCTACGACAATTTTGACCTCGAACCCCTCCCATAGGCATTTTTAAATTGGCTGTTGTAGGTGGCGCTATAGAGCCAATTTCAAAATTTTTACTTTCAAATGACCTACACCCACGAGTTGAACCATGGATTCAAGATTTGTGCAAATCAGACTTTGTTTGTGCAAACGGAAGCAATGTTTCTATTGTCAACAACTGAAAAAAATTCGCCACTTTTTGGCGCTCCGCTGCTCAAACAATGTTTCACTGATCAAAATTCCCTGAAGTCATTTTGATGGTACATGTGTTGAGATGATGTGGAGCGATTTTGAGGCGAATCGGTGAAACGGCTGAGGCTGGTTTGATGTTTGTGTAAGGTGTACATTTGCAATGAATGGGGAGCGTTTTGTCGTCGCCACGGCAACAGGGTAAAAAATAAGCCTTGGACCCAATTGACGTTTTGAATCAAGAGGGCAAAACAGATGTATGTGCAAAATTTCAAACATTTTGAAAAAACTAAATTTGAAAATGCCCATCTAAAACTTTGAAATAGTCTGTAGGGGGCGCTAATGTGTCAATTTAAATCAATTAACTTTCAAATGACCTAGACCCTAAAGTTGAACAATGTATTAAAGTTTTGTGCAAATCAGACTTTGTTTGTGCAAACGGGAGCAAATTTTATGTTGTCAAAAACGGCCAAAAAAAGGTCACATTTTGCCGCTCCGCTGCTCAAACAATGTTTCACTGATCAAAAATCCCTGAGGTCATTTTGAAGGTACATGTGTTGAGATGGTGTGGAGCAATTTTGAGGCGAATCGGTGAAACGGCCGAGGAGGAGTCGCTTTCCAACCGACATGTATGAAAACTTTTGCTGTTCATTTTTCCATTTTGCAGTGAAATTTATGGGCTTCCTGTTTGTCAGGGGGCAGGGCCATAATTATATTTTTTTCTTGTCTTGACTTGAGGAACATGTGTACCAAATTTCATGGCTCTACGACAAACTTGACCTCCGAAAAGTCCCATAGGGGTATTATTTTGGCTGTTGTAGGTGGCGCTGTT